CCACTAAAGCACATCCAGATGTTGAGGATGAAGATAATGTCACCTTCAAGTTGAAACTAAACCAGCCTCCAACACTGGGAATAATGGGTGACCCGACCAGTAAAAATGGCTCTGCCACCATTTAACTAGATTCTGGTTTGTGCCTGAACTCTGAACTTCTGTAAGCTTCTGTTAAAGCCTTTAACACCTACACAAGGTCACGTGGGATTACTATAAACCACCTTCAAATAGAAACCAGACTGCTGCTTTCCATTATACACATTATAGAGATTTTAAATGCTCTAAATGAGCTTTATGGAAGAATGAAGTAAGAGTGACACACTGTGGTCGTATCTGGGTACTGCAGTCCATTTTCCAAACACTGGTGACCTTCTCATTTCTGTTGCCAGATCAATGAGTGTCATTCTGATCAGCACCAGAAGATTCTAGATGATGAGTGAAGACGAGTCATACACAGTAAAAAGTAGCTTTAAATACTTTTAGAGCCAACTATTTGCTTCTAATTCACAGTTAGCTTTGTTAGCTCACCATTAGCTTCTAGTCTTCTTCACCCAATATTAGAGTTTAACAAAAAGATGCAGAGGCTTCTTAGGGGTACAGGAAATAACTTCTGGGTCGCTCCTATTTACTGACTTTAGATCTTTACAAAATGCTGCTGCGTTTTGCCGGCCAGTGTCAAATTACAAAAGCTGGCGCAGATTTGGCAACCAATGGGCTAACAGATTACCCCGAGTCTTTAGCTTCTTAAAAGGGAGAACAACTGACAACCCCCCAGCTGGCACCGGGGGCTGTCGTCCCTGTCCAGTCCTAACATGACTGAGACATTAGACCGTTTTGTGATTATTTACCTGTCAAATTCTTACTTATTGCACCTTTAATTTTGGTAAAACCTCTACATAAACTAGTAGTTATATTTACCTGTGACTGAGTACACAGAATGAACATTTGAATCATTTTACAGCTCTAATAAACCAATTCTTGATCCTTAAATTTGTTTTTCCTCGCGACACAACAAAACAACAACAACACAGCTGTCTGTTCTACACAGAGAACAAGTCTGGATGCTCCAAGGCAAAGAGCACCACGAGGGGCGGGACTAGCCAGCTCAAAAATAACCATTCAGAAAAGAGGCAGAAATGACGACTGTAGTTTTTTGTTGTTGTCAAACATGGCGTCTGGCAGTGACGCAAGCATCTTTCTTTAGGAGAGAGGCTTTTAGTGCTTCTACTTGTTGTGGTTTTAAAGACATGTCCAAGTCATCTAGAACAGATGAAAGAGCCGCGGAAGAACTCTGAGCATCACGGCGTGTGACGTGCGCTGCTCAGCGCTGATTGGCTCAGTCAGAATTCTCAGGGGCGGGGTTATTGGAATGGGAGCATTTCCAGGCTCTTTGCCTCAAATAAGGAAGCACTGGCATGGCTGGCCGTGCTACAAAAAAACTGCAAATGTTCTGCTTTTTCTGGATTTACAGGGGCCAACAGCAGATTCTGTAACCATCCCAAACCCTGGATTAAGTCTTCTTTGAGCGCTACGAAAAGTTTGAATAAGAACAGCTTGGCAGGCGGAGGGAAAAATACCTGCTCGATATAATGTATGTGTGCAGGAGAAAGAGGGGGGGGGGGTGTGCTCAGAGGGCACACAGCAGCCCTGAACAGCCCCCCATGTAAAAACAAAGCACACGTGTTTGTATGTGTGACTGGGACTGAGGGTGAGCCCTGAGACAGGCGTGTGTCTGAATGCTGAGAGGAAGACAAAAACAGGTTTTCTGTTTCACGCCATCCAAGTGGCAAACACATAAAGTTTATCTTTATTACATTCAACAGCAGGTTTTTATGTCCGTGGGTAGAAAATGAAATGGTAATTTCTTCTGTTCTGCTTCACCAACTTTCAACAGGAAACAATTATAATTTAGACCCAAGCTGAGCAGTGCTCAGTTTTTAAGTGAGCTTGAAATTCCGTCGCCGCTCCTAAACGGCGTTGGTCTACAGCTCCAACCAAAACCACCCATCAGCCCCCGGGTCAACCTCATGCCATCTTAATTAGCCTAAAACGTGGTTTTACTAATGCAGTTCAGCTAAGACGAGCTAAACACAAACCCGGTGACGGATGTTGCAGATTCAGCACCAAGGCTGAAGGATTCGTCAAGAATCAAAGGAAGGAACAGAGGATCTGCTGACAAATGGAGTGGGTGCAACACGCGTAGCCGGGGCGCTTACTCAAGGAATCTCTAAGCGTCGACACTAATCGCCTCGGGTTTAATGAAGTAAATGGTGGAAAACAAGGTCAGCAGGTGCAAAAAGCCTCCCGTAGCCCTCACCTCCACCCTGCTGACGGAGGACGGGCGGACACGGCTGCACTCAGCCATTAGGATGGATCACTGCTGGATCCGACTCTGACATGCTGGAAGGTAAATGCACAAGCAGAACTTTTACATCTGAGACCAAAGAGCTCATCTGTTTGGGTTCGACTTGAAGTCTGCCTGATGGCAGCCGCGTACTTCATTCATGTAAACGAACACGCGTCGGCTCAGCGTTGGGAAGCCTGCTGACTGCCTGCTTGTAAATGCCTCATTTTACATCGTCACGGTAACAAACTGCAAACAGAGCTCCACCTCCACACTTCCAACGGGTTTCAGGTTGTAGGCGCTGATGTCAGCCATGTTCTTCCATCATAGGCTGAACGTTGCAGACGCCACCGGCCCGTGTGTTCTGGGTTCTGGTAGCGTTTCGCCACTGACTTAAAAGCTAAACAGTTGTAGTTTGAACGAATGCATGAAGATAAAAATAAGAATGTCATCCCTTCAGACAACAAAACACCAGCAGCACAAAGACATTGGGAGCAGTCATGCATCAAAAACAAATGAAAGCACACGTTGTTTTAATATTAGCCATCACAGATGTGTCGCTACACTCCCAGGATGAAAAGAACTTTCTGGGCCATCAGGCCCCCACGCTGCACATCACAAGGTTAACTGGCAGTTTTGAGGAGTAAACACCAGAGTAGGCCAACGGGGCGGTGTCGCTCTAAAACAGCAGCACAAACACTAACTCCGATGTTTTTATTGGATCTGTTTGATAGAAGCGCTTCTGAATGACGGAGGTGGTGCAGAAGCCGAGGGCTGTCTGGGAAATGGCTGATCACCAAGAACAAGAGGATACAGCCGTAAATGAAACCACGGAGACGGGGCCGGGTGGTTCGTAGGTAAACTATAACCACATGGATGAAAATGAATGATTCTTATGCTACACCATCGGTCAAGAGGTGAAAAAATGTTCTAGTTTCCCATGGAAACGACTAAAATGAGTCTGGAGAGGAGATGAGACAAATCCACAGGACATGGTTAGAAACCAAGGTTTTTAACAAAATGAAAAGTTTCTTCAAACATTTCATGAAAAATGAGCTAAATCACCTATTTTCCTCATTCCATCACTCTGAGCTCCGTAACATCCAGGCAGCAGCATCAAGCGTTCACGAGGAGTAACGATGACAGCGGCCAGTTACAACCTCGGTGACAAAACGTGGATTTGTCTTTCAAGTTCCCCTGCTGCATGCACGCCGCCCGTGATTAAAGGTGTGCTTCAGACCTGGCTGGTTGTGAAGGAAATGAACTTTTATACACTAGAACATGTTAAAGAGACTTTTTGAGTTTCTGACTCAGCCTTGCTGAAAAGATGAATGAATGAGAAAGCTGCGGGTAGAGTGCTGGACGTGGATGTGGGGATGCGAGTCCTCCTGTGTGCAGGGAACATGGACGTTTAGAGCATCTGTTTCTCCGTGGCTGGAGGAGGAAGCTGGAGCTGCAGTTAACATCACGACGCCTCCTCCATCTGTGCCTGCAGGGAGCGTGGCTCAAGGAGAGTGGGGGCCCAGGGGTGTGTCAGGTGACATTAGGGAATGAAGGAAACTGTCATTATGCTATTAAGGAACCCTCAAATGAGGATGAATCGTGCCAGCTTCAGGCCGTCAGCAACAGCACACGCATCAGAAATGCTACGTGGTTAAGAACGAGTCTGGAAACGGGGGCTGATCGGGTTGGGTTAGGGTTAGGAGGAGTGGTTTGTCACAGCTGCAGTGTAGAGCAGCGTTGAAGACTCGTGGACACCGAGCAGACCACACAGACGTGATAAGTACGGACCCTGCAGGAGCACAAACTCGTATGTACTTCTGCTCCAGCCCATTTAAAAAATCAATAACACATTACAGAGGATCCTGCAGAAATAGGGTTCAAATGGAGAAGCTCAACACACACCAACATGCTCAGACCTCACCATAAAACCTGCATCCTCTCAAAAAACCAAAGGTGTCACGGTTTGGGAGGGAAAGACCGTCTTCTTCATGCATCACATGGCTTTAGTCCAGGGAAAAGGCAGCAGGTAAAGGTGATACTGCACAAGGGTGAGACACGCAGGTGAACTCGGGCTGTTTAACGACACTTCTCATCTCCAAACCCCCGATGGAGACAGCATCTATCTAAAACACTCACACTTCCTACATCTCCAGCCATTTAGGGAGCTACGGTGGAGTTTGATGTTTTTACAGGCAGTGAAGCGTATTTTCAGGCTGTCATCTGCAGCGGTGCAGCCTTCAGCCCCACAGAGCTGCACAACTTCCCTGCTTTCTTTGTAGTTTTGCAGCCCATCAGCACCGCGTCCTGCTGCAGCAGCCCCATGTTTCTGTGAAAAGGCTTCAACACTCCAAACTAGCTGCTGGAGACACAAGCCGCCTGCTCTCTCAGGAGAAAGAAACTAAAGGTGAAACACTCTGGAGTCAGTCTGATCCACTGCAGGCTGACGGGGACTGTTACCATGAAGCCAGGGATTTATCTAGCTTTGATAATAAACACTACGGCATGTCCTCAGATCTGAGCCCAGTAAAGATCAGGGTTAATGTAGCCGATTCCATTTAGGAAGGCTGGAAGTGCTGGTTCCAGATAGATCCGGCCTTGTGTGGCTCTTAGAGCCAAGATCTTTACTCAGACACGTGCTTTCTGCTGTGCTCACCTGAAGAACGTGACAAAGAACTGCACCAGGTCCATGAAGTTACTGTGCTGCGAAAAGGCAATCTGAAAAGTAGAGAGGGAGAAACGACAGTCAGAAATACGCTTTTAAAGCAGAGCTCTCTCTCTCACACACACACACGCACACGCGCGCACACTCACACACACACACACAGAACAGTTATGTTGTGATGACCTTGTAGATCTAACTATGACTACAGATGCAGGCCGGTGGCCCTCACACACAGCAGATGTGTGTGTTGTGACTCGTTTGGCCTTTAGGGTTCTGTGATACTGAGATGTGACAACATCTTCTGCAGGCTGTGTGATTGCAGCGCTGCACAAGATGTAGTCACTCTTCTCTCAGCCGTCTGGTCCCACAGCTCCTTCGTCACAACTACACAAGGTGTGTGTGTGTGCGTGCGTGTGTGTGTGTGTGCGCGCGTGTGCGTGTGTGTGTGTGTGCGTGTGTGTGTGTGCGTGTGTGTGTGTGTGTGTGTGTGTGTGTGCGTGTGTGTGTCAGAGACGACAAGTCAGCCGTCTGACCTCTCAGATCACAGCCGCTGCAAAAGTAAAATAAATGAATAAAACCTTCACTCCCGCATGCGTGGGCAGAAATATTCTGTGTAATCATCACAAGTCCCCCGCTTCAGCCACATCCGGTCTTAATCAAGGTTGCCACAGTAACACTGGCAGTGGCATTCTGCCTCCCCGCCCCGCTCTTCCTCCTACAACCTCCCATCCTCACCTCAGAATCCCCAACGAGTGTGTACCTGCAGCGGCACAACACTGCCCCTCCCTGGCGTGCCAGAGGTACTGCTAGTCCATCAGCCCTCCTGATCATTACCGCTCTGCAGAGCTGCATTTAGCACACAACTCTTCTAGGGCAAGAAGGCAAAGATGAGAATAGAATAAAATAAAATAAAGGTGATGGTGGAAAACCTGGAGCAGCCATGTTGGAAAGATGTCTGATTGGCTCACAATAACATCAAATAATTTGTGTGTGTGTGTGTGTGTGCGTGTGCGCATGCGTGTGTTTGTGCATGCGTGAGAGAGAGGAGAGAGAGAGAGAGAGAGGAGAGAGAGAGAGAGAGAGGGAGACAGAGAGAGAGGAGA